ATTACTCTGTTAAATTCAGAATAATGCATGGTGACCCCCAAAAGCAACAGGTTCTAGGCAGTTCAAGCAATGAAAAAACAATGTCCCTGTTGTCCCTAATCTCCTTGTCTATAGAAGTGGCTCAGAGGCATGTGTAGAGTCCTACAGGGCTTGAGGCCCCAGAAAATGGGAATATATATCTTTTCTCCACGGTGATTCCTACATGACCCTCAACTACTTGGAAAGCAATCACTGTGGGTAAGAAGAGTCAGTGTTTTCCCTGGCCTTGCCATGTTCACATGCTATAACTTTTAAGAAGGAAATAGAGTTTCACTTAAATCTTATGCCTTGTGAACCATATAAGAGGTAATAAGAATGAAAAAGTTTGTTTATAAGGCCAATAGCTGCACTCTCCTTTTTCCATATCTGGAAGAGGAATAGAGAATGAGTTGTTAAGACACCTGGACTAAAGGAAATCTGTAACAATGACAAGATAATTATTTGCAAACTCATTTTCCTTTCTCCTGAGGCACCCAGTGAGACTCCACTCACTGATCAGCTCCCTCTGCAGCAAAAAAAATGACCAAGTGTCCCAGTTCAGCATAGTGAGGGCAGAAGCCATGATAATCACTGCTAGCTTGGCCTACAGCAATCTTCGGAGACTTCCTGCCTCACACTCTGTATCTTGACTGAAAGAAGAGGTTTCTTAGGGCCTTAGAGGGGACAAAGTCCTAAGAGTATAAGCAAGCCAGTTCAGTGAATGCCCCCAAGGAAAGCCAGTCAGTCAGAAGCTATGCTGGGAACACTGAGATTGGTTAGCACAGGACTTCCACACTGGTAGCTCAGGAGAAAGGTAATTTGGGGCAACATATGCTAAAAATTTGTTCATAAGAAATGAAAGAGCATTGGAGTAAGAGAAAAGGATCTTAATTTAATAACTTTCTCCTGACCTGGGCATTATTCAAGATAAACTTTATCTCAAACTCTAATCCATAAGCTTTAGATGGAATGTGATCTATTTGTTACTTAGGAATATTTAATTATCTTAATATGTATATAGACAAATGGAAAAGGCTCAAACCAAAAGTATTATAGGGCCCCTGCTTGAAAAAGAATCTATTCTGGATCCAAAGAACTGGGCTCAAATCCCAGCTTGATCACTTATTACCTACACTGTAAAAATGACTTCAGTTCATCTCTTCCTATTTTTCCTCATTTGTACAACAGAGATAAATATGAATAGCTATTAGGAGGGTAAAGAGCCTAAAGCATTTAAAAAATACAAGAGCTAATTGTTTCTATTAATGTTTCAGGGTTTTTTGCTGTCAAAATCAGGAATTTGGGGAAGAAAGTGAAGTAGTATTTACTGAACATGGAAGATGTGTCACAGGGAAAAGGTGTCAAAGAATGCCAGCTGCTCACCTATTTCTTCAGTTTCCTGATGTAGATGGAAACCACATATCCCAGGTTCCCTTAAGTATGATGCACCCACAGGGAACTGAGTTGTAACCAACAGAATGCAAACAAAAGTGATATGCACTACTTCCCAGTACTAGACAACAATACATCTAGAGTCTTTCCTCCAAAAGCTTCCCACAGATTAACATGGTGTCACCACCAAATGGATGGACAGGTGGGCTTCTGAATCTACTCTTTCAGAAATGCTGTCAAAATCTCCCATATTAGGACATGACATGAATCAGAACTTCATTCTACATGAGACGCATTATGCTTTTCTGATTCATTTAACAGAGCTGTTAAACTAGCCAATCTAGTATAGCTAGCTCTTTGCTTGTCGCCTACATGTTTAACACCTATCATGAAACCTTAAAACAGACAGTGTTCCAGTTTGAACGATAAGAAAACTCAGACTAACAGAAGGTAAAAAAATTTTCTTTCCCACTATCATGAATGTTATAACTATTGGAAGCAGATCTGAATCTAGATTAACCTACTCCAAGATCTTTGACCTTTCCGCCCTCCACACAGAACCACAACACGCAGTGTTCTTGCTTTCCTCCCTCATTCACTCCTGACCCCAGGCACTTTTCTTCTTTCAAATCACATGATTTTTCACCTGCATGCACACACTGAGACCTACAACGACCCTCCCAAGCATATCTCTTATATCTCATTCCATACACTTGCCTCAGAACAAAAACAGGTGCTATTAATCCATCTGTTAGGGGAGAGAGATTTCCAGCAGTTTTGAAAATGGTTACTGGATCACAGAAAGTGAATGATAGAGCATGGATAAAGAGAAAGAAAATCCCAAGCTAGCAGTGAGATCCAGAGTACCAGTGGTCTTACAAAAACAATTACCCAAAATACTTAAAATCTTACACCTGTTTCATATGGCTGCTTTCTTGCCCTGGGTAAATTATAAGTACCATTTCATATCAGTAAATGGCTTCAATTTAGAAATGCATTTTAATATGTGCTCAAATTTTCTTCTCATATAAAATAATAAAAGAAACTCAAGAAAAGTATTGTCATAAGTCCTGGCTCCTTTGTTAGACTTAAAATACTGTTTTATGAAAACAAAACAATGAAAACAAAAAACCTGTCCACGTCGTTGTATAGAGCCATGCCCCTGACTGTCACATGAAATAGATTCACTCACTTAAAACCTTATGAAAGCAAGTTTACAAAAAAGTTTAATTTCTTTAGATGAAAAAGCGAGATTACCACCAACACATATTACAGCTGACTTGGACTATTACAAAGAAGACTCAAACACACTGAAACCATTATTAGACAAAGTTGCAGAAATAAGAATTACAAAAGGACAGGATTCAGCTCAGAGGCTTAATTAGTTGGGTTACTTTTTCTTTTAAGAGCTAAATTGCAGTGAACAGTTATCCTGTGGAGCTTTCAGAAGAATTAGCAGTGAAAACATATATCTAAAGAGGAAAGAAGATAAGTCGCTAAAATTAGGGGGTGAGATGAAAAAGTCCAACAGCATTGGAAAGATTTATTCTTTAGTGACTCTTAATCATATGCTTATGCAGTAATTTTGGAAGGTGTTTAACTGTCCCCCCACAAACCAGAGAAACTTCAGGTGTGTTCACAGGCTGCAAATAAGGAGGTCTGCCTTTGTTTAAATTTCCACGTGCAGCTTTAAACAACAGGTGACTTAGAGTCTTAGCCTCTAATTCTCTAATTCAAAAGGATTTTCAGAGCTTGTTAGCAACCTGGCAAGGTCTGCACTGAACAAAGATGAGACTTACTTCCTTATAACCTTTTCCAAGAAACAAGGCAGTTAGAGTCAATTCAAACACATAAAAACATTAGCGTTTGACAAAAGAAGGAAAACAGTATTATCATGGAACTTGGTTTTGAGACATAGCAATGTTACCCACTGCCCACCATGTCTTAAAAGCTTTCAAGACAAAAAGAACAAATTTAAGTGAAACCTGAGTTTTTTCTAGACCCCAAATCACCTCAAGGTGTCCGTCTCTGTGACACAATTTTTCCTTTTTCACTCATCTATATAGAGGCAACAACAAACTCATTAATCAGCCTGACTTGAAAGGCTGCTGTGGGGAATTCCTCTGAAAGGCAACATTTAGTGTTTACACTCCTACCGCGCTAAGGAGCACAAACCATAAACCTCAAAATGCAAAATATAAAAGCTCATTCTAAACTGCTCTATGTAGGTGTCCAAACGAATCAGGTATGTGATGTTTATTCCCTGAAACACTCTGCTCCCAGGACTGTAAATTACTGGAACGGCCCACACAATTAAAAAACACAGTTTTTCTGAAAAAACAAGTCCCCCGCCCCTGTGTTATTCCAGTAGAAAACTAAAATAAAGTTCCAAGAGCAGTGCTCACAGGAGCCGCCTTACAAACAATCCTGCACTGTGGCGGATAATCCAGCCTGTCCTCCTCCCCGCACACCACCCACTCCGGGTTATCACTCACACGGATTCGCCAGGTCACAACCTCCAAAGCCTTTTAGGTCCTATTCTGGAGACCCAGGTCAACAATCTACCGCCTTATCTTCCAGGGGCACTCAGCCGCCTCCTCTCAGGAGCTTTGCTGTGCTGCAAAATGCGTTCATACATAGGATTCTGACTGGTTCAGACATTCAGTAGCCCGCGTCTTCTACCTTCACCTACTCCACACCTTTCACTAAGAGTAAGATACTACACCAGAAAGTGGGGAAGCAGCAAAAAAGGAAGGTTTTGGGGACCAAGAGGATCGATACCTGCGGGGCGCCTAGCGCACATCTCATTGCTGCCTGGGTATCAAGAGGAAATTATGTGATCCCTTTACCTTCCCAAAAGAAACTGTAAAGTCTCCGAGAAGTTGTAGGAAATGTATGCTACCTCTACAAGCTCCCTTGGCCAATGCCCTCTGCTCCCCAAGAGCAGAGACCTTGTCAATGTGGTTGCTGCGCTGTAACCGCTGCGCTCAGCACCGAGCCTGGGACCTCAGCGGGGGCTTCAAAATAGAGTGTATCAAGTAGATTCTATCACGATTTCGCATCTCTGATGCCCCTACATACAAACCCCTTCCAATCCCAGTCCAAGTTCACCTCCTAGAGCTGTGGGTTGCTGCTGGGGCTGATAGGAACCCTGGGACCCACAGCAGAAAGAAACCCAGTGCTAGGATAGTGCGCCCCTGAGCGAGGACGCACAGCGAAGGCAATCCTGAACCAGCAGGAGGAGCGGATTTTAAGGATTTCAGAAGCAATTTCTGATCTGGGCTTCTAGTTTTGTGGTTGCCACACAGCGCAAAAAAACTTCTTTTTGCACTAAAAAGGAGCAGGGTCGAGGTAAGGTGACAGTGGCGTCCACTGGGCTCTGCCCCTTGCCAGGTGGAGATCTCTCGGCGCCTGCCCAATGGACCCTGCAGGGCTGACCAGGGCCGCTGAGGTCAGGCACAACCCTGGGTACCTGTCTCTCCACCCCAGCTTGTGAACATCGTGCCCTTTTCTCCCAAGCGGTGAGCCAGAATGCCCAGGGCAGTACGCTCTGGGCCGGGGCGGAAGGCGGACAGGCGCTGGGCACTTACCCTAGCCGCCCAGCTACGCGCTGAGGGGAGCCCCGTGTGTGGCGCCAGCTGGTCCTGGGTCCAGGCGGAGTGGCAAAAGCTCCCTACTTGCGACCAATCCTGGTTGTGAACCCTGTGCTCTGTCTGGTGGCGCGCGCTCCCCTCCCTCCTCGCGCTCCTGGCAGATCTCAAAACCCGGCGCACTGGACTTCACCAAGCAGCAGGCTAGGTGGCTGCGGAGACTAGAAGATAAGTGGGAAGGGCGGGGGCGGCGCGCAACGGAGCTGGGCATGCTCAGTGCACCACCCCAACAGCGCGCCCAGGGGCAGCACCTGCAGGGCCCGGCCCTAGGGAAGCGACCCCGAGTTCCCCCCCAGTATAAAACTGGTAAATGGAAAATTGGGCGAGACACCCGGTCCTGGTTCCTCGGGAGGAGCAGGAAGGGCGTGTTTGTGCAGGCAGGGATCCATGGAGAGGATGGCATCTTCCTTTGCAACCTGAGTATGGGGGACCAGGGAGGCGCTACTGGACTCTGTCTTCAGGCACTCGGAATCCGGTGTGTCTTTAAGGTGGCATGCCCTGGGAAACAGACAATGTCTGTACTGAGAACTGCTGCGCCTGGGTTTTGGGGTGAGCGGTGGCACTGAACTTGAGAAGCTGAAAGAGGTGGCTTTGGGAGAGATTTTTACCTGCGTGTCCTTAGGCAGAGTACATTGGCCCAGTGTGGTGGACAGGACTTGGTGTCTCACTCACTGGTGCAGCATTCTTTCAAGCTGTGAATGTATGTGTGGGAGAGGAAATGATTGAGATAAAATAGGAACAAAGATCAATTTGTAGTGTGTGTGGGCATATTAAAAGCCTCGTTATTCAAAAGCACGCGCTTTGGCTAATGACAGTGCCTTGGTCTTTCTACATTTAAAAAACCTAGTATTACTTTGCAGAAATGGCTCCCTTCACCCCAATTCTAAATCTCAGAGCAACCTTAGAGATTGGCAACGATGATGTCTGAGCCCCTCAGTCAGCATCTCCTTGTGAAGTGAGTCTGACATGCAAAGGAAAGGCAGCCCAGTGGAGCTGATCAGGAATGCATTTCCAGCAACCCCAGAGACCACTTTCCCTCGGAGGCGAGGGGGGGAGCCCCCAAGGGATTCTGTGGAACCCTAGCCTTCCGGAGACTCTCTCAGCAGTTTAAAACTACATAAACAACTTCTGACCATTTACACAATCCTGTAAACCTACCCTGACATCTCCATTATGTGGGAAATACGCTAACTGGAAAACTATTTTTAAACTACTGTAGTAAGCAAACACAACGCCTGCAAATGCATGCCGCAGCCTCCTTAGTTCACACAAGTACTGGTTTCGTTTTGTGTTTAGTCCTCTTTGTTGCTGTTGTTTTAATACAATCAGTTTCTTTCCTGGGCAAATTCTGATCAGGTGACAGATATGATTGTGACCAAAATATTTCACCACTTGCAACTGCACAATTCATGATTGCTGAGGTTTATTTTGAAGAGACCCTCCTCTCTTTTTCTAAGTACTTAAAATTGGGGATAGATTTTTTTAAGAACCTCCCCTTCTCTCATGACAAAGGCAGTTTTGCAAAACAGAAATGTTGGTGATGTGTTTTCCCTGGTAAATTACTAAAGATGAATGGTTTCTAGTTCACTTTGAATGCACCTGCCTGATTTATGATTTTCACAACTTTTACTGTAACATTTTCAATATTATTTATTTCATAATGTTTCAAATTAACTTTTTCAGTTTGCATATAAAATCACAGCTTATTACCTTTTCCTACATATGTATCATACACCCTTTCTCACTACTCCCCATCTTCGTTTTTTCCCTTTCTGTTGCCAAATAATTTCCAATCTCTTTTCTGAAATATTCATAGGTATAGTGTGTATATGTATAATTTTAAGATATGCTTTTCAGCAAAAGTATTGCCATGTTTAGGAAAAAGTATACCTTTGTATACATGTACACTCACAACACATTCATGGGGAAACATTTAAAACCTTACCTGGAATTGGCAACAACAGAAAGATTGTCATGTGTGGCCCAGTGGGACTACAAAATGAAAGAATTTTCAACATTTTATGAAGAGTTTAAGCAAATTCCCTTAACTATGGTTGTAAATTTCAATTCCAAATACTTTATTTTCATTCTGCCCTTTCAATTTTACTCTATGCCTCCTGCATGTAAGGTAGTATACCCCAGTATGTGTGAGGAAAGTGAAAATGACCAGGGCTTAGATTCTGCACCACAGATGACCATCTAGTGAGGAACACAGACACTGTATATCTGCAGAGACAGATCTGGGCCAGGCTGTGGGATGTCAGTTAATGGTTAAGTTGGGAAAGATTTTTCATTCCATCATCCTGCCTCCGCTGACCAAATGTCAAGCTTAATCAGCACCTTTCCAACAGTCACTGGAGTGGTGGGGGGGTATATAAGGCATCTAATATAAAATGCAAGCAATAATCCAGTCCCCTTTTTCCATCCTGCAGGAAGAAGCAAGACTGAATTGCAACCTCTGCCAAGAAAGCAGGCTTCTCACTGTAGCTCTTAGAACTGGGGAGTGTTCCTCTGAGAATCAGTTGCTGCCAGGAGATGGAAATGGTTTATTTTGGAAACAACATCCTCACATGTGTGTCCCTGCATATCTGGAACCCCCAGCTGGGTGCCAGCTCTGGGGGGAAATGTTCCAAATGAATCAATTAGCACTGCCAGCAAGTTCGATACCACTGCACTGAGACCCAGCTCTGTATCAGTGCATGAATGAATTACTGGTGCTCATGTCATTTGCAAATAACCATTATTATAACTCAGTGGAAAATTCCTCCTACCCATTTAGCCTGTGTGGCTCCTAGGAAGAGAGTTTCGATAACCCCCCACTGTACCCTCCCAAGTACATATGTTGAGGTTTTACCTTCAGATATTTTAATAAAGGAGTATCTATTTGGACACAAGGTCACCTCTTACACTCATTAAACCAATCTGAATGAGGTCTGATAACTCTTAAGGGAAATCAACACTGAAAATGCTTTCGACTTTTTGGAGACATGGTTGGAATATATCAGCAGGTTTCACTCAGCACACAACAGTTCTGAAAACTCTAGAAAGGACATTTCTCTGTCCCACCCACACTGGCAGTCTTTCTTTACACACCATAGGCATGTGGTGGGTGTAAATTTAATGTAAGAGGAGGAAAAACAGAAGAACAACATAGGAAGAGAATATGTCTCTCTGACCACATCTGATTTGATTTTCTGTGGGTCCCTCATGCCCGTAAAATAAGTGAATTAATTAATAAATAAATAATAAATAAAATTCCATAAACAACAGTTTTTGTGTTTTAAATGACTTGAATAAAGTGACCCAGGAGGTATCTCAGTGGGTAAGGGTGCTTACTGTGAACTCAAGAAGCCTTGAGTTCAAATCCCCCAAACTCAGAAGAAAGCCAAGTATGGGCTAGGACTTCCCAGCAATGGCAGAATTAGAAGGGGTCGGGGGAGGGGAGAGGGCACTGAAGCTAGTGGAGGTGTGGCGTAAGAGTGTTAGGTAGATCCCTGAGGATTGCTGGCCAGCCAACCAAGTCAAAATGGCACACTGTAGACTCAATGAGAGACTGTTTCAAAATGTAAGGTTGACAGCAATAGAGGTAGACTCCTGAAGTCTGCCTCTGGTCTTTGCATGTGCATACATAAGATTGTGCACCTGAAAACATACACACTTACCTACCACACACACACACACATGCACACATACACGCACACAAGTTTAAAACAAGGATCTAACAGTAGGGGCAACTCAGATGAAAAATAATTAAGTTTTGTAATTAGGTTGTTTTTTCAATGTATCTAAACTCATCTTGGTGTGTAAAGAATCACTTTTAATCCCTCCCTGGTTTGGAAAGACAACCTCGTTTGTTTCTATCAAGTGAATAAAGTAGTTTATTTTTATAAAGAATTATGTCAGGAAGGCTTTATGTTCAATTTCTAAATTATAATAAAACAGAACTCAGAAACAGACCTTAGGACCAGCCTTCTATAACCCCCTCCTATGTGATTGTGGGAGGTGACACTTGCACTTCAATCTAAAGACTTGGGAATAATAATGGACTCATAGTGAGATTATGGTAATTAGCACACAAAAGCGCACGTAATTATCGTGAAGGTTATGACACAGACTGACAGACAGAGTCAAAGTAACCTACAAGCCTGCCAACTCTGGCCAAGTCTCTTTTCAAAACAGGACTGAGACTCCCACTGAATAGGCATAATAAAGTACAATTGGAATCCGTCACCTGTTGTCCCCTCAACACATTTTTTTCAGATGTTTCAATTCTTTATGCAAAATTCAAAAGTCACAGTTCTAGAAGTCTATACTTTGCTAAACTATCTGCATTTGATTTTTGTTGTTCTCAGTAATGATATTCTGAATTGCTCTCAGGGAAAATAGAGCGATCCCTTCCCCAGACCCTCTTGCAATAGGATCTTCTTTGACTCATCAACGCATACTCTTATTTTGTGTGAGCACTTGATAAAGATGCTTCATTTAATATTTGCTTTTTGTTCATGGACATTGAATTCATGCCCACAGCGCTGTAAACATTTCCTAAAAAAACTTATTCAATGCATGTGTGTTCTCTATAAAACATGTCACGGGCTTTTCAGGAACTTCAGACAGCACAGTAGAAGTTTCTGAAGTAACTAACAATACTGCAAAAATGAGACTTCAAGGTACTATGAGACCTGAAACAAGAACCCAGAACATCATCTTGTTTGACCTTGACTCTAAGCGCGTGAATTGGGAGACTCAAGCTCTGCTCTCGGTATATCACAAGTACCTCCTGTGTCTACAAGCATCATCTTCGGTGGCTTAAGTACTGACCTTCAGGTTAAAGATAAATTTTAACAAGTGAGCAAGCTTGCAATTCTGGTATCTGCAAGTGATAATGAGCAAGCAGAACTTTTTTTTTTTTTTTTTCCCTTTAAAGGGCTAGTCTCATTACCCCATATGATATGTGATTCAATTTTCATTAAACTGAATTTACAATCATTTAAAAATATATTATTGCGAGAAAAAACCTCATATACTCCATAGCATGTCTTTGACTAGATTTCTCAAATAAAGTAACAAAATTATGTAAGATTTTTCTTTTTTCACATACTAAAGTTGCTTTGTATTTATTTCCAAAGTAGATTTTCACCACTTTGTCATTGAGCATT